GTTGTTGTTGTGTTTTGTTTGTTGTTATTCTTGTTGTTCTTCTTGTTGTTGTTGTTGGTTGTTGTTGTTGATGTTGTTGTTGGTGGTGGTGGAGGCGGGGGAGGAGTTGTTGCCTGAACCAGTGCATTCGCTGCCATCGCTCGGTCCGAAGCAGCTGGCCTGCTAGATTAGGAAGGCTTGAAATGCCTTGTATTTGCCTGGGCGGACAGGTCAACCTGCCTGTGCTGATTAGCTTAGGCCTGGAATCGCAGTCATTCGTGCCAGATTCGGGCTCAGCAGTTGTTTTCTGAGCCGTGCCATCAACAGAGACCTGCTCACAGCCTGGGCGCTTCAGAGGGGGATGCCTCAGTTGTCTTTGAAAACAAAAACCGAACCAACCCATTCTGCGCTGCGAATTGCCATGGCCACTGCGATTGGACACGGCGACAAGGACCCGCAAGGGGTGGATCGCAGAATGTACTCTGTACCCCAGCTCAGGAGTCCAGCTTTGCCATGCAGATCTTGGAGTCCTAACTTTAAACTAATGAAGTCTACACGGAGTACCGTTGGAGGTCTGTCCTTGAGCTTGTGCTGAGCCACTGCTGAAAGGACGTTGAACTTGGCCCTGAGCCTCTTGACAGCAGCGTTCATTGGCAGCGGAAGTTGTTCCGCGGGGAAGATGTGGGGCTGCTAAGGCGAGCAGACGGGCTGAAAAAAGTGCCCGAGGTGATCCCCGAGGGATCTCGATGGCGACACTTGGAGCGCAAGGAAAGATGCAAAGTTGAGCTGGAGAGCCGATTTTTGCATCCGGTGCTCCATCCAAGCGGACTGGGAGTGATGCTACAAAAGAGCCTGTAACGCTGTAGCAACTTAATCTTTTTGGAGCTTGCTCCAGCCATTCCACTCCCAGTTACTAGTGGGCATCAAATACAGATTTGAGCAGACCTTCGCTTGAAGCGTTGTGCAGCATACAAACTCAAGGACTCAATCAGGAGTGTGTGCGCCACGAGAGCGCATACCAGAACGTTCACCAGATTTTGGCAATCTTGAGAGACGTGTTGGCAGAATGGCATCGGTCAAGGTCAATCACTTTTTGATCTGACTCTGGCTTTGGAGATTTCCGCCTATTCCCGGTGCCTTCCTTTCGTTTTCTTTCGCTCAGGACTGGTGGCACTAGGCATGAGCCTTTGTCTCTTCCACCTCCTCGCAACGTACCCGCTTCCAGGCCATCTGTGCAAGTAGTGCGACTGTGACAGGGTCAAGGCCATGCAATTAACTCCTGGAGCAGAAGCTTGGATGATGCACATACTGCCGCAAATCCGCAAGTCGGTTGCGGTGGGATGTCGATCAGCCAGAAGCCTGCAATTTTCAAGACATCCATGCAAAACTCTACTATATCTCCAGAACGGACAGTATGAACCCCTCATGGATTGACCGTCCATGCACCTGTCTCAGACGAGCTCGTGTTCACCGTCCCGGTGAATCGACCGCAGCTTGGCGGCGGTGAATAGCTCACTCTCTCACTCATTCTGTCTCTCTCTCTCTCTCTCTGTCTCTCTCTCTCTCTCTCGATCGCACACAGACACAGAGACAGAGACCTACACGGAGACACACACACACAGAGACACAGAGACACACAGACACACAGACACACGGACACACGGACACAGACCAACACAGACACGCACACACACACTTGACCAAATTGGTCGGCAGGCCCCGAGTCGTCATGGCGAATCGAATGCATCACTCAGAATCTAATCAATAATATCGGAGTGCCTTATACCTCATGCCTTGCACATGCCGCAATATGTATAAAGCAGACTTGCTCAACACGAGTGAATGCAGCTGCAACTGATAGGACAAGACGAAAGACAAACACAGGAGCAGGACATGAAGTGGCGATGAATTTTGGTGCGTAAGCATGCCAGACACCAGGAACGGCATGCAAAAACTGATGATCCGTGGGGGTAGGTGCTGCCCCGGTGTGCCAGACTCAAGGAATGGCACACCAAACGAGATGAAAAAGGTAAAGTGCATCCCGCAGCTGTCCACGCTGGGACCCAGGGCGGATGAGCGCTCCCTCTGTCCCCTGCTGAAACTCTCAAACGACTCGTTACGTCGATCATGCAGAGCTAACCACATGCCCTTTGAAACAGGGCACACGCACATACACACATACACACATACACAGACTTAGACACACACACACAGAGACACAGAAACACACACACACACATACACACAACCATGCACACACACAACCACCCACACACACACACACACAGATGTCTCCGCGAATTGAACGGCTCCGCGATCTTTTCGAGCCTTTGCAGGTATCACCACATGCGTCTCACGGTCTTCTTTGGCTTTGGCATCCCCTTCCTCATGCAAGGAGAGCTGGAAGGGGCTCAAGTCCTTGAGGGGTGCTGCGTCTGCTTCGTTTCTGTGTCGTCCCCAGACGCTTGCATGGCGTCGAAGGACATGGGAAGACTCGCTTGCGACTGCAGCCCTTGCTTGCGATGCTCATCTTCTGGTGGCCTGTGCTGCACTTGTGTTGACTTTCTTGCCTGAGAAGCTGCTGGAGAGGTAGCCATGCACCGGCATCAGTTGTCGCGTCAACGTTAAGCCTGACGGTGAGCTTTGCCTTCTACATGACTCGCACGAAAGGCTCACGCTTCAAAGTATCCTTCTCGTCATTATCGGCATGTGGCTGCATCCCGGCTGCACTCTGCGATTGGCAAATCGTGGCCACATAACATAAGTTTATTCGTTTTCCTGAGGGGAGCCTGCAAAATGGAGGGTTACGGGTAAAGTGTGCCAGGAAAGGTGGACCATGAAATCCAACCCCGCAAAATGTTACAGTACTACGACACCTGCGCGCAAGGCAGCTGAGCCTGGCAATTGCACTGCTGCCTGGCCTTTACAGAGATGTTCTGTTCCTTTCGTGCTTCTGAAAGGCAGGGCTCATGATCTGGATCCAGGGTTGGTAGTGGGACGACAGGATCAGCTCTGCCCATAGCGTTGATGCTGCCTGTGCATCCACCTGCATGCGGCAAGAGCATCTGCTACTGTACAAGGCTTCTTGCCGTGATAGTCCTGGCCTGGCCCGTTCTTCGTTCTACAGCCTCTTGGGTGGCAAAGCCATCGGAAGCGCAGGGCGCTTGTAGAGTCTTGTGTGGGTTCAGTTTGGGGATCTAACTGCAGTAATCAGTTCCTGCATTGAAGTGTGCTCTGTAGAACCCCTCAGCTCCCGACACGTGGAGGTCCCAAACCTGCAACTGCCGTAAGCCTAAACGCAACATCCGAAACCCCAAAAGAGGAGTGGATTGGGGACTTCGGACGCGGAGCTTACCGACACCTCCGAGATTCGAACACTGCGATTCCTGTGAAGAGCCTTGGTCATCAACTTTATGTTCGATACCGGATGTTGGTGTTCCCGAGTTTCGCCGCAAGGCAATGCAACCACGAACTGTGATGAACCGATGGTGTTTGAACACATCACTTTGTCACTTAGGGGACCCAGCACTGAGATTTTGCGGCCGCCGAGTTTTGTCTGAGTTTAGGCAGGGTGCAGCTTGAAACTGTAAAGATCTGTATAGTGTAAAGAGGCCCTGCTTAATCCCTTCCTCGATCAGCCGTCCAAAGAAGCCGTGCGATCTTTCTGCTTCTTAGTACCATGTCTTCTTCGATTCTCAAGAAACATGAACATCGAGGATTTTTACTGCCATGGCTTCTCTACTTGTTTCTCTTTTTGCTGCTGTTGTTGTTGTCATCCTTGTCCTGCTCGGCCCCTTGAGTCAGCAGATTTGTATCGGAGGAAAACTGAAGCTCTGCGCTTTTTCAAAGAGCTTTCAGCAAAGGGATGAGTTTTAAAAGTCACGAGCCATTCGAACGGAAGCCCTTGAGTCACGTAGTGCAGGATCTACACCCTGATCTTCTCCCTCTTTCCCTTCGGCCTCATCATGCCCATCTTCGGGCCCTGGGAGCGAGTGCAGCTCTGGGTGCGATGGAGGCCGGTGAGAGAGGCATTGAACAGAGCAGCAAAAAAACACGGCAGAAGGAGCAAAAAGGAGGCAACGCAACGACCAAGGCCCAAAGCGCAACTTCCAGTCCTGCATGATCTGATGCTGCTCGATCATTTATGGCTAGAAGTGCACGTGTACATACAGGCGTTCGTACATGCATACGTGCATGCACAAGTACATTCAGATTCAGATAGACACATACGCATGCACACACGCAGAGAAGTAAATGCTTACATACATCTTGGACATTGTCTATCACTTGACCCAGGCTGTCAGCAACTATCGTACGTCGATAGGTCGTATATGCTTGTGCGATATTGTACATTGACAACTTCTTCTCGCCGCAGGCCATATAATGTCGAAGCTGAGCTTCTTTGGCGTGGGACCTTCGCCACTTTCTTCCTGTCGTTCTTCTTCACGGCTGCAAACCCAAAGGCCGCGTCCCACCCGTAGTACTCAATGCCATCAGAGTACTAGAGTAGACAGAAAATCAACGCAGTGTTAACCTTTTTGGTAACACCCGTCTTGAATGTACGGCAATGGTAACAGTACGTGCAGGGTAAATAAAGACAAAGCAAGGCAAGACCAGGAACACCGTTCCAAGGGAGTGTCAACTTTCTGATGACAGAGCGAGCTACAGAGACAACATCATATGTAACTTCAAAGGCCGCAAGGACACGTAGAACCACGAGCAGATTAACAGTAGTGGACTCCTATAATGAGGATTCTAGAAGGAGTAGTAGTAGTAGTAGTAGTAGTAGTAGTAGTAGCCAGTAGCAAGTAGCAGACGTAGTAGTGGTCGTAGTAGCAGTAGTGTAGTAGTGGTAGTAGTAGCAGTAGTAGTAGTAGTAGTAGTAGTAGTAGTAGTTGTTGTTGCTGTTTTAGAAGCGAGCTATGGCAGTGGGGGCAGGTGGCAGCAGCAGTGATGGTAGCAGACGCTAAACATAGTTAATAGTATTGTGCTGCAAATGTAGGAAGCAGCAATCGACATGTTAAACATCAAGACTCAAGAGGCACCTACTGCCAGGTGAACAACGCGATCGTGGCGTTTTTCGCTGCACATGGCATATGTCACAGCATCTCCATGTTCTTTGATAACCGACGCGCGGCACAATCGGGAACCGGTCCGCTTGTAAACCAGCGCTCTTCTAGACGTCGAGCCATCCCTGCCAGAGCTAATTAGTAGCAGAGGCCTTCGGAGCCACTTTCTTGAACCGTTTGATGTCCGCAAGTGCTTGAGTTTTGCAGCCGTACATCAGCAACACCCGAAAAGCCGACATGCAGCATGTTGCCCTCCCTTCGTCTCAGGAATCACGCCGACCTACGGCAATGAGAATGTGGAGCATCTGCTTGAGATTTCACTTTTCATGGCCGCATGGCAACCTTGACAAGAAATCCACAGGCTGTAACTGGCGTTGCTATCGCCTGCCCGACTCCCCGACACAAAGAAAGAACGAAAGCAAGAACGACATAAAGAACAAAGGTGCAGAAAGTAGGACAGAAAGATTGCCTTGACGTGATCAAGGCAAGCAGTTCGACAGAAATACGAACAGCTAGTTGAAGTCAGTAAGAAGGAGGTTCAAACATTGGAAAGACCCGAACAAGCAAGGAAGGAACCCAACAATCACAACGAAAGGCCACGATAAAGCAACGGCAAACGCAGTGATGCTGGTACTGAGCCGAACATTGTCTTCTACACTACAGTGTGTTTGCCTCTTCGTACAACATACTGTAGAATCAACACAACACCGCAAACCCTAACTTTACGCCCAAGCACGCCACAGCTAAGAGTCCTAAAACTACAGACTCGACGAGACGGTCACGCGTGGTGGTACCTGCAGTGGCAGCAGGAGTGTAGCGGTAGCAACAGTCATAGTAGTCGTCGTCGTAATGGTCGTAGTCGTGATCGCAGTCGCAGTCGTTGTCGTCGTGGTCGTAGTCGTGGTAGCATTTTGGTGTAGTTGCAGTTTAGGGAGAGCTGTATGATCTGAGACTCCGGTAGCTGAGAAAGCCACGCCCATCATTGTTAAACGCGCCAGTGGCAATCGGAATGCAAGCTCCAAACATTCCGAGTCCCGAAACTTGACAGAAACCTGAACTGCTCTTCTGAACTCTAGGTCACCATCCTCTATATTGCAAATCTTGCAGTCTACATTAACAGTTGAGGTAGAGCAATTCAGTCTAAACTTGATACAGCTGTTGTTGTGGTGGTGGGTTCACTGGCGAACGAGATCGGTTCTGGTTGTAGCGATGTCGGTATGATGAGGGTGTCCATGACGCACAACATGGCATCTTATCGCCTTCAAGCAACTTAGCCAGCGCTGCAAACCAGATTCCACGCGTCGAATAGGTAGGCTGTTAAAGCGAGGAAACCCGAATTTCCGCCAGAGATATGCTTGCACACGGTCTACGTCGCAGTCCTGTGAAGTTACATCCCGCCGGCCAGCGCCCACCTGAACATTTCCGGGTTCACCGGATTCCCAGTGGCTCCCAGTTTCTATGTGCTCCCAGGTCCTTGGCTTGGGTCACTGCCTCGTGGGGAGGTATGTTTGGTTCTGAGACGCTCGCGACATGGCTTTCGAGAATCCTGAGTCATAGTCATGGTGGTGGCGAACAACAACGACAGCGTTCAGATGAAGTTAAAATCTAGATTTCAGGAGTAGATTTCATGACGAGCGGAGGGTTGGGTACCCGAAATGTCTATCCTGACTTCGACGAGTATGGTTCTATAACTTCCCCGGTATTGACATGCATCTCGTGTTCTTCTTGATGCCTCTGATCTGGCATTGATCTACAGTCTTTACTTCTATGAGCTGGAAGATCTTCAGGCATCGGGTCTTCCATATTCAGTTTCCTGCAAATTCCTCAGTTCTTTCTCGACGAACTCATTTGCGAAATTTTCCTTCCCAGCAAGAAGCCGGGTTTGTGTGTTTGATGGGAAAACGATCAGAGGAAGAAGCAGCGACCTTCTGAGATGGGCAAGTCTGCAGGTATGGTAGTCCTTGTTTGCCTACTTGGCTGATCTTGAGAGCCACAAGACATTGGCATGCCTGCCGCGTGCAGTCTCACAGGCCTCAACAGTCCTGGAAACAGGCTGAACGTCACGGCGGTTTTGCGTTCGGAGGGTCTTTTAATTAGCCCGCTGACGCACGCTTTTGTCTCCAATTGCCTCATTCACACCACAAAATCTGTGGGTGAACGAGGTGCTTGAAGCACACATTGTCTTGCAATTCTGCACGTTTTCACGTGGGAACCGCTGGACTCTCGAAACAACATCCGAGGCCGGCAGAGCCCCATCGACACGAAACTTTGCGCCCTACATATTGCACCTGGTGTGCATATCCGGGTGTATAGTACCGGGCAAGGTAGCCGAGCAAAGACGGTCGTTGTGCAGCGGCTCGTGCTAAAAAGGTGCAACGTCTGCCTCATGCCTCATAGACATGCATGATGAACCCAGGCTGCCGCTGCTCTGTTAAGAGCTTGCTTTTCGATGCGCCAAGGGCCAGCTTTCAATCGGGGGCCTGACTCTTCCTCTGTCCATCAGCCCAAAGGCGAAAATCGACGAGAGCTCCTTTGATCGTCCTCACCACAGTAGTCTTGGTCTTGAAGTCCTGAAGAAACTCAACACCCAAACACCGAGGAGCCCCGTGGCCGGTACCGATGTTGCATCGTAGTCGTTCTTAGGTGAAGGTTCGAAGACCCGCAGCGAAGACCAAGTGCCTCAAAGCCGCCTTCGGAGGCTTCGAGCCCTGGTCAATCGCGCTGCCCGTGTTTCGGAGGCCATAGCCGCTTGCGATGCGGACAGGGCCGTGTAGAGCTAAATTCGAAATTGAATCAATGGTTAGGATGATGAAGGGGTATACGGTTGGAGGGCATTCCACGACAATTGACCTCTTGCCGTAAGGAGTTTTGCTGTAGATCATTTTCTGTCTTACCGCACAGTACAGTTTGCCCACTGATTCTAGCGATGTTTCTGGGTTTCCTAAAGAGATTCAGCAGTGAGGTTTCTCAACATTGCAACGAAGTGAAGCCACAAAGCCTTGTGCTTCAAGACAGAGCTGCTAGAGTCGCTGTTAGTTGACGAGCATGCCGGAGCAGGATGCATGAGTATGAGCCCACCTTTCGTGCCACGATAGAGCGCTCATCAGGCCATTGTTCCCGATGCAGAATCACATCATCCAGGCGGGTGCTCGCTGGCTCTGAGTGCCACAAGTACGAATGGGCCGCGAATGTGAAAGCTCGACAGGAGTGTGAGGTCGACAGATCTGAAAGCCTGCTTCTGAGGTAACTTCACCGACACTCACCAAGGAGCGGTGTGAGTTCTTGCCCGACTAACTTGCGAGATACTGCCGCTCACGGCACTCCGTGAGCCACTGCTTGGCCTGGCCTTTGGACAAGGTCAGGACCTTGGCCCAAACCTCAGCCCCAAAGTGCTCCAATCGCACATTACTCTCCTAAGACAAAGCTCCACCTCCTTACTTGCAGAAAGCCTCAGGCGCCCCTTCTTTAGACAGAATTACCCTAATCCCGGAGCGTCGAATCCAGCACTTGCTCTGTTGGCTTGGGGTTACTATTTACCACTTGTTCGAACTCCAACACCCGCACCAAAGTAAGGCCAAAACCCTGGAGACTAAGCCGATGAAGCCCTCGCACGTTCAAACCCAAATCACCGCACGAAGAGCTCCGAGCCTCAACCCCAAGCCAGGGCCAGGGTTGTCTTGAGGAGCTTATACGAGCTTTTGAGAAGCGACCGGGACAGCCGGGCCCTTAGACGTGATGCTAACTAGCGGGTATTTGGGGGTTCCAGGGCCTACGCCGGCCTACGCTTTAAGGTGACAGGCCGTAAGCTGTTGGCCTCTCTGAGATCTGTTTTTTTAAAGGGGTTCGGGGGGGGCCTGTGATAGGGCTCTCTTGTGCTCCCGGCCTTGGCGCCTAAAGGGGCTTGAAGGCTTGCTCTTTATGCTCTCAGCCTGTTCAGGTCCCAAAGATTTTTGATCGGTGCTGGTGCCCGGATTTAGAGCTTGCGGATCAGGTTGAGGAATTTCTGGCTGGCAAACAGCTTTGGAGGGCTCGGCAAGTCAGCGGATTTGGGCTTAGCCTGAACTGGAACAACGGCCCATGGGCGGAAAGTGTTGGAGAATCGCTTGGGGCTCTGTCTGCCTGCTTTGTTCGGACGTAGAAAGCTCGAAAGATAGGCTCATCTAGTGCGACCTGTTGCCATTGACTGTTAGCTGAATCATCAATTTCCGTGGAGCTTGGTGTGGTTCCACTCGCATGAGGAACTACGTCAGCCTCTTCCTGCATAAGCAGGCTTGGTGATCGAAGTTGTCGGCGTAGTTGAGGGTGCATCGCTTTCGCTTCGGGACTGTCGTGTTCACGGATGTAGCCTCTGATGACCTCGGACGACTTGTGATAAGCACAAGGATGTTAGGACCGCAGGAAGTGAGAGAAGGCAACCCCCTAAAATCCCAGAGTGACTTCTTCGGCTTGTGTCCCGCAGTGGTGGCGTTTCCTGATTACAGCCTCCATGACCTCATTAGATATCCTCTGCCTATGCTACATGCTACATGTCAGATGCATGAAAATGCACTGCACATCTGGTGGAAGATCTTTGGACCTTGGAATGTAGATAAAGGGCACGAGGAATAATGATAGAAGGGAGGGCGAACTTGACCTTCTGTGCAAGATCTAATCAATGTAGATTCAGGCTAAGAGGCTAAGAGGCAGAAGCATACAAGGAAAGGAGGAAGTCATCCGTCTCATGCAGTAGGTTCGTATGTTTTATAGGATCGGGATGAACCTCATGCTTGAGCTAGGTGCCGCCCGCTTTTGAGATGCCGGAGAAGCGGGAAGAAGGTGACGAGGCGGGGCAGCAGAAAGGTCAGTTGATGAAGTCGCGCAAGACGGGAGGGCTCCAAACCGATTCATGCAATGCAGTAGCAGTAGCGGAGACCTTGACGGCCCAGCACTCATCTGTGAACGTGTCGAAAGGTACGTAAGGTTGGAAAGCTGATACCTGCGAAATTGGTGTTTGGCAAGCGGGCCACATGTGGCACCGAACCCCAAACCTCCACGAACGCATAAGGATCCCACAAAGAGGGTTTCTGCAATTCCCATATACCCCGAAGAAAGGTCGGATCCTTGTCTCGAGGAGTGTTTTCGGGCACCTACCATCTGCAGTTGTTCTTTTGTCCTGAAAATGCAGGGAAAGTACACGGGCGACTGGACGGAGTGAGCTTAAGATTGATGTGACATGCTCACCCGAAATGCATCTTGCATGTTCTCAACGAATCCCCGAATTCGTGGGACAGGGTGGGGTGCGTGTGCCAAAGACACTGCTGTAAATCCGCATCAGCACAGACGAGGATCACACGCGGGAGGTGGAGATGCGATTCTGTGCATAAGTTCTTATCGCTGCAGGTATGGAATATGAGGCACGGACAGGCCACGTCTTGAAGGTCTATACACACAAGGACCCCGAGCGGCACCTGGACTCATGAAACGACCCCAGGTGCTGAACAAGACCCTAAACCCAAGCCCCTTGAGACTTGCGACCTAAACAAAGAAAGAATCGAACCTTTCCGACTCCCATCTTGGGCTTTGCAGGCGGGCGAAGGGGCGGAAGGGCAAGTCCCGCAGGTCCAAGCGACCGCGGAGTTGGAGGATGCCAAGAAACGGCCACGCCTTGTTTCGGGGTACGGGCTTAAACAGTTGAAGTTAAAATGTTTGAAGGCTTCTACAGGCCTTGCTGTAGGATTTGGGGGTTGGCAGGGCGAAGGGGTGGATTTTTAGTGTTCGGTTCATGGAGTCTTCGAGCTTTGGCCTGATGAGCTTAGATAATCAGGTGCCGTCACAGGGAACGTATTTGTAAGTAGCCTGGAGGTGGCTGCAAGCAAGCAAGGTGTTTCGGTTCTGGAGCTGCAGTCTTGGATGTTGAAGCGGCTCATAGGGGGTTCGACTTTTCAAGTACAGTCGGAGTTTGAGCAAGGTGGACAAGGTTGACCGAAACTTCGGATATCTTCAGAGTCCCCGAACGTGTGCCGGACTTTGGACATGTTGTGCTTCTTGGATTCAGCACTTAGGGTTGCGTGTTTGGCGTAATCATAGCAGGAAGCAACAGTGCTGGTAAGGTAGTAAGGAAAGCCCAGGAAACTAGCATCAACATTCTGCTTACGGTCATGGCCAGTGAGGGCTAAGGCATCACGTACTAGTAAGTATAATGACAACACTGTGGCAATACTCGCACTAGCAGTAGCAATGGTGCGAGTGACAGCACAACCTAAACCCCAAGCCATAAAAGTCCCCAACCCTCTTCACCCTAAAGCTACACAGATACGTTGTACAGGATGGATCCGTCCATGAATCCTGTGAGGAGCTGGGCAGCGAGAATCCCATGGAAGTGCTCTGCAGGGTCGGCACTCGTGCCAAAGTCATGCAGGCCACGGGATCCAAGCTTTCATATTTGAGGGTTTCGAGTTTAGGGGTTTGACTGACAGGCTGCCAAAATGCGCTACTTTCCGTTCGGATTTCGCTAGCTTAATTGGAACTGATAGCAGGGTATATCTTGAGAGAGTCGCTCAAGTGGTGCTACTGTTGGCATGACTTTTCTATTGCAACGTTCAAAAGTGCTCTTCTTGCTGCTAAATCGCTCGTCAAGCAGCATAGCCGGCTCAGGCAATGCCCGTCGTGTCTCAGTCGGGCCAACAGGCTGGGGCCAGGCTTAGGGTGTTGCTGGTAAGTTGATGTTTGTCTGCCAGAGGTCTTTTTTCTGTTATGTTTCAGAGGTCCTGACAGGATGGGTAGCAGCATGGTGCAAGGTGGGCTTGCAGATGCTGGTCAACGGCTTTGCCCTCAGATTGCCGGGACGACGCCGCCGGTTTACTTTGCTTCGGCTTTGACGCGTTAATAAGGCTCCAGCTTTTTTTTTTCGTTTGCAGGTTGAAGGTTGGAAACCAACATGCCCTATCAAGTGTTGGGATTTGCCAGATCCTGGCTCTTCAAAGCAGACATCCGGGACCCATGAGTTCTGAAGGTATCGACATCGTTCGCATGGAGGAGGTTCTTCAAAAGGGTCCACCCCTGCAGGCAAAGGGGCGGCGAGGAAATCTATTGGATAGGGGGCAAAAAAGTGCAGCTGATATAGCTTTCACTCCGGAACTCCTGAATCCGGCACTGTCAAGTCCGGGCTTCCCGAAGCAGCTCGTGTTCCTTGCTGCTGGTGCTAGTATGCATGGTAGAGCGCAGTTTCACGTGTACGGTGGCAGGATCTCCCTAGCCCTAGCCTATAGCCCTTCTATGTGCACTCGAGGCTTTCACATAAGGGTTGCTGTCCCCATCAGCTGCCAGGTCAAGATCTCGCAGGTGAAGTACGAAAACGAAGATCCTCCGGACATGCAGAGAAGAGCTATTAGATTCAGGTTTCGCAGCTTGGGGCAGGTAGAATCGATGCTTTCGGGGGCAGTGACTAGCGCCCGTCGCTCTTCCAGCCTGCTCGACTGCTAGACTCTGACTTGTCTTGCGACTCCAAGACATCCCTGAGGCTATTAAAGGTTTCTCCCTGCAGGCTACCAACAAATGCTGCCTTTGCTCCGAAGGACGACATGCTCAAGGCCACCATGAACGAGACAATGCAGACCATCAAGGCTGGGAATCCCTGGTACTCGTATTTCGGGTGTGGTGATGGTGATGTTGATTACAAACTATGTTCCGTCAAGTCTTATGAGACTATGAAATGCGCTTATTGCAGCTATCATATGGCATAGCAGTGGGATTTATCTAGTCGGACTTCGGGCAGTCCCTCTCGTTTCTTGCATTTAACTTCGGGCGATTTATCAGATTAGTTTCGTTGATGCTCTTGTCGAAGATGCCCGGAGAAGTTTCCCCCAAAGCGCACAACTTCAGAGCCTCCGTTTGAATTCCGGAGCTATCGATACCGCAGACGGAGCGTGCAGGACTTCCCGAGCCGCCCTTTTCACTCCTTGGCTCTGGTTTGGCGCAATTGAAGAAGCCCTCACATCAGTAGCATAGGGTTGCATAGAGACCCCACATACAAGGATCCTTGAAGTACAAGAGGTCTTCTGAAGCTCTGAAATCTGAAACTCCTCCGTGTCACCAGCACCATGTGCTTGTGCGCGCGTGCAGTCAGGAGATCATGAAGGTCAACCCAGGTTTCCGCCAATGGCTCAGTCACGACCATTCTACGACATTGCCGCATTGGTAGCTATGATCCAGTCGCGCAATTTCCTTTCAGAAAGTAAGCTTTTGTCTTGGGCGGCGGCTCTTCAGAGAACCTTTCCACTTCCAAAAACAGTTCGGACAACCGCAGCACTCACTGATGGTGTGAAAACAGGCAACAACGGGCAACGACTAAGACGTGTTTGCGTGAGAGCTCCATGACTTACGGCAGCATCCTTGTGGCATCAGTCACAGCACAAGCCTGACATCTATTCGATTCAATGCAATGATGGTCCTTGCCAAGGCGAATATGCATCGCTCATTAACCAGAGCTACTACGATCGCGTGGAGAAGATGAAAGCTCACGTGGTGGCGCCTCTTGGCTTGCATCAGGCATGAGACCATGGGGCAGCGGCAGCGCGGCAAATGCTACTGGAAAGCTCATCCGAACGAGCGGTGGCTCGGCCACGATCATATCTCCACGTGCGATTCCGTGCGATAATCAAATCTGCATCTGCAAGACATGCTAGGTTACTGTTAAGGGTCAGGGTGCCGCAGCTCCAACCATCACAAGCAGCACAGACGAATTTGTGCGAGAAAAAGTGCGACCAGTTGCATTCCAAATTCTTCTTTCAGCGGTACAAGAGAGCTTGGACCTCGAAGATATGTGCTGACGACAGTCGGCAATGGTTGCTATAGAACGCCACCGACCTTTTCCTCCTTAATTGCACCTATCAGGCTACACGAGCCAAACCCGATCCCGACACCCCGAACCCCAAATTCTGATCTCAAAATTGCCTACCTGCTTCCTGATCTTAGGCACTTCGCAGCCGCCCTCACTTCGGCAGACGGCATGGATCTCCAGAAGGCTTGCTACAAACGTTCTTTCTCTCGTGGCGCATGTCGAATTCGCTCCGAATGGTTTGTGCATTCAGGGCACAGGGCACCCCAGCCAATCAACTCCCTGTTTCAATTCAACCCTGTGAGCTTTCTCTCAAAAACTCGCAGGTCCTGGAAGCCACGAATGCCCAAGACAAGAGCAGGCCAAGGGGCTCTGCGGCTTGGGGATGCTTTGAGATTAGGAGTTGATGTCCGAGGGGGAAGCCGGGAAGCATGGAGTTTCTTGCGGCGCTGCTTCTTGAAGTTCAGGCTCTCCTGAAGGATCCTGTCAGGTTTGGGCTACGATTCCTGAAGTGTCATGTGGCCTACAGTGTCTATTTTCCAATTCTCCACGGGCGTAGCCTTGATGGGAAGCCTAAACCCTAAACCCTAAACCCTGGAAGAATCCCTGGATTCGTCCAAGTCTTGGGCTTGGAGGCTCGCCTTGGAGCTTGTGAAGAAGGAGCTGGAGCCGCTGGCCAGCTTATGATGGGCACCATGGGCACATGGGGCGCTGTGTCTAGATCTCAAGGTGGGCGCCAGACCTCACTTGACAGTTTCATCCTTTTTGCATCGGACCCGTTCGTGTTTGTTCGTGTCCAAAGTTGAGGCAGCTGGGTTGGATGGGGGCATGAGGCTGGGGCCTGCCGACCATATCTCTGTTTGCTTAATTTGTTTCGAGTCTCCAAAACCAACAGCTGGCCACCGAGTGATCGGGATGCCTGGGTGTCTTTGTAGTTTTGCAGGCTAGCAGGATCAGTGATACTAGCTCGCGGGGGGGTGCGAGAGCTCGCGAAAGGTTCGCATGTTGAGCGGCCTGCAGTCGCATCTGTGTCGCCCGAGGCTGTCGAAGCTTCAACAGAAGATCGCATCACAGATCGAGGTGCGCATGGAGTTGGTGATGTCTGAGAGCCTATGTCCTGCATGGTCGCACACTCCGACAGGTTGTGCACTAACTATCTGTAAAGCTTTTTTAGCAACCGCAAAACAGCAATGAACCACAGAATGGCAGGACAAGATGAACAAGCACCAGCGGGAGTTCATGCTGCGCGAGCAGCTCAAGTCCATCAAGCAACTTTCTGGCATTCAGCAGCTTCGAAGTGAGGGTGCCGCATATTGTACATGCTTTTATGTTGCAGAAGACAGGCTCCGGCAGTTACGTGCATAGGTAGTAGCGCATAGCTGCCGACGAGTTGAGCTGCAGCGCCTCTCAAAGCAGCCTTTTGCAAGTAGAAATCAGTAATATAGGGGCCTTAATAAGTAGAATAGGGTTTTGGGGGATAGTATTCGATGATTACAATAAAGAGCCCCCGAAACCCTGCTCTAATTATGGAGGCCCCTGCAAAAAAACTCTTCAGGAAGGAGCTGGGCATTGACAAGGATGATGGATCCGCCACATGGCGGATTTCAGGTTGGAGCTGCATCCGGCTTTTTTTTCCCTGACTTCACCAGGCGAGCAGGAAAGGAACGAAGCTGAACCCCCCCCCCCCCCCCNNCCTGAACCCCTCAACCCCTAAACTCCCTATGCAAGGATCAACTCCTGCAGAAGTTCAAGCAACGCCTGGAGGAAAAGACGGTGCCCAAGGAGGTCAAGGAGGCCTCATGATGTCACATTTTGTTCTACTCAGTTATATTCCGTTTTTAGTCTATGCAGGTCTAGTCTATTCCGCTGTATCATGTTATAGATTATGTGATGTCATTTCGTTACAAGATTGATATCTCATGCCATGTCATGTTCTGTTTGTTTGATGCAGTTGCATTCTAATCCATGCTGTACTGTTCCGCTCTATTCTGTTATGATATGTAAACTCTTAATGTATCATAGTACGTTATTATATGTTTCATGTTAGGTTGTCTTACATGTTACTACATGTTACATTATATTGTAACATTCCTTGTCTACATTATGATCTTTAATGTTATGTTATACGTATCCCATACTGTATTGTCTTTTTGTTGCATTAGGTTATCCTTGTTAAGTCATGTTATACTGTTATGTCATGTTATATTGTGTTACATTGATGTCACATTTTCTGTTTAGTCAGTATGCTCTGCTATATTAAACTACAATCACATTATGTTCTGTTATATTATCTTGAACTGCATGAAACCATATTACATCATATCAACCCAAACTATACTGTACGATCATTATGTACGTGATAGTTCTGTGTTTCATACCGTATATGTATACACACGCACCTTCTACCATGTTTTAAACCACACAGATAATAATGTATGTATCTACATATAGTGCATAGCCTGTTATGGTTTATAGTATGTATGTAATAATGTACACTTTTTATATTGGGCCCAATTACCAATGGATTCCAGGTACCGTCTCGCGGATTTCAGGGTTGCTGGGGATGGGTTTAGGGCCGCAGCCTGACCAGCATCATGAGCTCGAACCGGAGCATTCGTGCACCGCGTTGACCAGCATCATTAGCATACATACACCAGAGCATCATGGGTATCCGCAGCGCATCGCAGTTTTGTTTTGCAAGACAACTATCAAAAACGCCGTGCTGTCCCACAACAACCACTATCTTTTTGGAGGCCTGGGGAACTAGCCTCCAAGAGTGGAAAACATGAATTTGTTTTTGGGACAGTGCAGCAGTGTTACAAAACAATTTTTTAATTCACAAGAACGAGGTGCTGTCCAAAAAGCCATATCTGTTGCGAAGTGCTGTACTGTCCCAACAGAACCAAACACGAGCTCCCAGTACCTGAAAAGGATTGTTTTTTCAGGTTTTTTGGTGACAGTACAGCAGTGTCATTTTTTGACAGCACAGTGTGCTTCATAGTTTGTTGGAAAAGTGCTGTACTGTCGCAAAAATACCTTTTGGAGGCCTGGGGAGCTACCAGTAGCCTCCAAGACTCTCGAAGGCTATTTTTTGGGGTTTTTGGGTGACAACTCTCGCAATCTTGGGAAAGTACAGCACTCTTGCAAGAAACTCGCAAAAGTGCGGTACTGTCCCAAAAAATCGATCTTCGGGGGCTTCCAAAGACAATTGGCTGAGTGCCCCGCGCGGTGAATATCTTCTCGCGTCCTGCTAGATTTCTACTTTCTTGCAGCGGAATCTTTAAGAGCTGGATTTATTTTAGATTTTTTCTTCTAACCAATGGACCCACTATTTAGCCTCCGAAACCTTGAATCGCAGGAAGCAATTTGCTGACCTGGTGGTGATTGGGAAGATCAAACCGTGACATTCATCAAAAACAACAATGACGTCATAATGACGTCTATGTTTGTTGCAATCTTCTTTTGTAGCTATATATATATATATATGAGCATGTGCACATAAATACTGTATGTGTTTGTGTATTTGTTCATTCGTCTTGTCGTTTGTAGGTAATTACATCATCCACCCTCCCACTTGTGCGCATTAAGAGACAGCAACACGGTAATATGTAACAATGTAGAAGGTAGGATTTGTGTAAAATCTGCAAACTATGTTTCTTCAAGTGCCTGAGACCTGCGAGGCCATCGATCAGGAGTTGGAGAAGTTCGCAAACTTAGCCAAGGCTGCACGACGTGGCTCCTCTTCACAGTCTGCTGGCAAACTGCAACCCTGGGCAGGAGTCGCAGGAGTACCAGATGACCCGGAACTATCTGGAGTGGTTGACGAACATGCCCTGGGGCGTCTACAGCAAGGCTTGCTGGTTTCCCGCGTCTCGAACACAATGAAAGCATGGCCTACCCGCTCTGCCATTTATCCGGGCCCTGGGGCCCCTCACACACCTCAGATGACGGTGTCGCTGGGTTTTGGGACAGCAGGACACCTTCGACTTGAAGAAGGCCCGCGAGATCTTAGACTTTCGGCTTCACAAAAGTAGTAGATGCGCCCTTCTGTGGTGCTTTTTGCGCAAGTGTCTGTGTCGCTAGTCTACAGCTTCCAGATGCACGGCTCGTATATTTCTGCACGGTAACAAATATGCGCCTGGTCGGCACAGGATCTCAAAGTTGTCAGTCGCGGCACGTGGGAGGTTGCAAAAGAATCGCATTTCAAGCTCGTGACATTCAGGAAAGCCCCGTGGTAGACTCCTAAGGCCTGCCTGCAATCAGAAGCCAGCCGAGGATCGAGACCATTATGGCCTAGCGGACATCAAGGCAAGAATGGGGGCCAACCTTTGCCCGAGTACGGCAGATTGCGGTCTGAGGTTTCGAAATTGAGGGTCCTGATAAGACTCTTGCTGAGGCGGAGATTTCAACCATCCAGACTTTTTTCGATGGCAGACAAGCATGACCATGATGGCGAAGTGCTGTGCTTCTCTTGTCGAAGAGTTCAGGCATGTTCATGTAGATTGGCTACGCGGGAGGATCGAATCCGAGAGTTCATTGCTGTCGGTGTGCTGCGCGGGTCGATGCAGGGTGTCTTTCCTGCACATTACGCCACCAACTTCCGCCTCCTGCGGCTTGTGGGGTCTTGATTGTTGCAGGGCTTGTAGCCAATCAGAACCTGGCTTCCTCGGCCAACGCAGTCTTCAGAATTTGCTGCACTTCTTGAAGCGGAACTCTCAGCGATCATGCCGCTGTCATTGCTGAACCAAGCTGCACTGCAGCCCACACCCTAAGTCTTGCAACTTCTTACATGCAAGTGTCCGACCCCAGAAACCCTTTGCTCAGAATCTCATCGCTCCCGGAACTCTTGGCTTGAAAGCTCTATGGAGCCTTCAGGATCTTCTTTACTTGGAGCCTTAATCCAAGGCAGGCGATTTCGGGTTTCTCCTTTGAGGCCCAATACCTGGATAGGGCCATGGGTGGAGCTTTAAAGGCTATATTCCGATGCCTTGTGCTACGCAGCGGCATCCTGGTTTAGCAGTGAAGCATTGGTGTACCTCAGCGGATCCCTGCCCAACTCTGTCAGTAAGCTGCAGCATCCAACACAAGAGTCTGCTACTGTTTGTTACCGCCGCCAGCCTTGCTGCACGATGGTTGTGGTTTTATTTCACTGAGGGAAGATTCTTTGCTTCGTGGGCCCCCCCGGTGTCGGCAAGACGTCGATTGGGAAGTCCATTGCCGAGGCAATGTTCACCCAGATTGTGTTAAAAGACCGTAAGCTACGAAAAGAAAGCCCGCCACAGCCACCGAGCCAACGCGAGGCACTCGGACGAGAGTTTTACCGCTTCTCCGTGGGCGGCCTCTACGATGCACCCTGAACGATTGATGCATAGGGCTTTAGGGTTGATCACATGTGAATGGGAGGGGGGGGGGGGTCTGTGAAGAGTGAAGAGCATCACTGGCATGCATCAATCTTTCTGCATACCGCGACGCTCTGAACCAACTACTCCGGCCCTCCCTCAAAGTCTCAAGCCTGAAAACCTCAGAGCTCAAGGGCATTGGTGTGGACGGGCTTTGTGCTCGAAATGGTGTCGAGTATGGGCAGCCTTGCCCAGACGACGAAACATAGTGAGACCCCATGAGGGGATTGAGAGGGGATTGAGAGGTCTCAGTGCATGGCATGATCCCCAGCCCCCTAGTAAACCGTGTGAAGCACGACAGATTAGATCACAGCAGCTGCAGGTGGCGGAAATCAAAGGCCATCGGAGAACCTATGCCTCCCGGACGCAACATTGTCTGTCCATGTTCTTGTTGATGATTTCGATGGTCTGACTAGGGAAGGTGAAAGAAGGACAGGTTGGCAGGGACCCCCAACAGCTCCCGTAAACCTGCGGGTAGCACAGCACTTGCGCCAGAAGCCACCCCAACACCTCGCTCGCGAGCCCCAAAAACACACCCCAACGCCACGCGCCCGAAGCCCTGAAGGATGGCCTGCGGCTCAGGTCGGTGCCATGCCAGGAAAGGTGATCCAGTGCCTGACGCTGTGATGCGACTTGCGAAACTTCCGAGTACCGTGAAGCCTCTGACAGGGTTTAGGTCGTTTCAAGCTGTTTTTGGCTTTAGGGCCGAACGTCAGGGTTTTGAGTGGCAGTTTCAAGTTGCAAGGCACAGGGAATTCGCTTGGGCTGCGGTGCTGTCAGCAGGCAGCAGCAGGTAGTCAACATCCTGTTTTGCAGATCAGAGAGTTGAGTTAAGGACCTAGGGCGAGGAGGATTGCCGTTTGTGGGCTTGCCTGGATACACTGCGTAAGGATCTTGAGATCCCGGGTTGGATAGCAGACCAGCGCTAGCAGTAGCAGCAGCAGCATAGCAGCAGCACCGGCACCAGCAGAATGCAGAAGCAAGACGTCGTTGGAGATTTACGACAACAACGGAAGCCATGTGTACAATCACAATGACTAGCTGCTAGCTACTTAAACGGCCAGCTAAGCAGATGGTCATGGGAAAGAGTGCAACCAATTGGTACGGTGGTTCTCAAGCCGGCTGTATCAGTGTCAGGTTGCTGTTTCAGTTGTTGCCATGTTCAGAGCCAAATGCAAGGAAAAAGACACAAACCGCCAACCCCCTGATCCTGATTGACGAGGCCAGGGCCACCTGTTATTCTCTGCGCTTGCGTGTTGTATGCGTGTTGTATGCATCTTCACACATATGTCCAAATGCGCTCGCGCGTTGATGTAGAAATGAGTCAGGCATGTAGACAGGGCGAGAACGTTAAGTGACTCTTGTGCCGCAGGGTCGATTGTGTATTTGATGCTAGCGTTTTTTATGTGTATGTAGACTGTAATTAAGCATGTCGACTGGTCTTGGTTGGGGTTTTTGTGAAGATTGGAAACTCCGAGGCTTGCAGCTATGAAAGGTTCAGAGCCCCGAACCTGAGACAGCCTCGCACATTAATTTGTACCGGTTTACTGCGAGGTTTAGCAGAGTTTAGGGGTTACGTGGCCTCGCGGAATGCCGAGAGGTGGACAAGATCGGACGCGGCCACCAGGGAGACCCCTCAAGCGCGCTGCTCGAGTTGCTGGACTGGCGAGGGCATGGAATTACATGTTGTGCCCGGTCGCCACTGGCTTTTTCGACGGAACCAACAGTTCGAGATGCTGAAGAACGTTTCATTTTCAGGTCCGGTTTCAGCTTTAGCTGCCCTAGTTCTACATTGGTGAAGAAGATCTTCTTGTCCCAGTTCGGCATAGGACCCTTCGCAGAACAATTCCTTCGTGGATCACTACCTGGATGTGCCAGTTGATTGCAGCTCGTCCCCAGAAGAAGGGCCTACAGCCTCGTGGCAGTATAATCAACATTCAGACTTAGTATCAATGTTTTTTGTAAGCTGAAGGCTCCAGAGCAGGAGCGGGAAATCCAAGTCTTCGGTCTACTGGTATTTCCGCTCGATTTGCAAGAGATCTCCGGACTCAAGATCAAACACAGATTCAAGATGTGAGTCAAGGGTTTCCGTGATTGTCGTCAATCCTTTACCTAATAGTGCACTAGCCACTGAATTAATTAGCGATGTGCTCACCATTTCGTGGTCCAGACCCTTTGACTGGTTTCGCTTTGGCAAGAGTTGCTCCTTGCTAGCAAGACTTCTTGACGTGACATACCTTGGTGCTGCGGACGAGCGGCAAGGAAAGGATAGGTAGGAGGAAGATGAGGAAACGCAGATAATGGATTTGTTGAAGTGCAATTTGGTAAAGTGCCTGTCGGGGTGCGTGTTGGGTTGGGTGGGGAAGGGGGTTAAGCTCCCTCACTCCACTCGCTCCCTCCCTCCCTCACTCACTCCCTCACTCTGTTGATTTTCTCTGTATCTCTCTCTCGCTCGCTCGCTCTGGCTAGATCGATCTCTCGCTCTCTCTCTCTCTCTCTCTGTCTTTCTCTGTCTTTCGCCCTCCCTCATGCTCTCGTTTGGTCGATGTACGTCCGTAGTTTATGCAGGTTGAATGAGCCCATTTTGCAACTGATCATATGTTACACGTATATTCTACGAACGTATGGACGTGCCTGAATATGGTCTGTAGACAAACGTACATGCGCAGTCAAACAACGCGTATGTACATGATGCTGGTACAAAGACGTGTTCTCACAGTGGTATATGTATACCTGTATGAGCGTTCACGTCGGAGCCTGTTTGTCTGCCTTGATTCTCTCTCACTCTCTCTGTCCCTCTGTTCCTTGCCCTTCGGTCTGTCCATATGTCGTTGTAATGGTCTACCTCCCTTGGTTCTCTGACCATAGTTCTGTCATGTCTAGACGTCATTTTCCCCATCTGTCTCGACATCTCAAGACGCTTACAAGCGTACAGTAGAGTGATCAGCAAGTATGTACGTGAAACTATATAGACATGTGTGTGTATTTGCATATGTACAGAGTTCGCAGATGCTCGTGTATGTGCAGCGTGTGTGTCTATTTGTGCGTGAACAGACACGGTAGATGAGCAAATAACAGAACAATATGTTTATGTGCGTATGCGTGTGTGACATCTGTCAGGCAGCAACATCCTCTTCGTGTGTACGGCCAACGTGCTGGAGCCGGCCTTAGCAGTGAGTGTCTTTCCCGATATGTCTACTCTTGACTCGTGCAAATGCCACCGAGACGGGGCTGTTTGCCGCACGCTCGCTTCCCACATCCATCCCAGCTTGAAATCCAATTGTGAAGCGTGAGGAGACGATACCTGGACCGCTGCTGGACCGCATGGAGGTCATTCGACTCACAGGCGCGATCTTGCGTTGGCCAAGCGCTGCCTATGTTTGCAAGAGTTGTCGTGTCAGGATTTAAATGATCAAAGCGTTTGGCTTGAAGTTTTGGCAACTGTGCAGCTCGGTCTTCTGGGGTCATCGAAGTGAAGGGGCCTCGTGCGGCGACAGACTTCGGAGTGCGAGTCGTTTCAAATCAATCTTTTTGTCGAGGCTACGACCTTCAAGCGCCTTGGCAAGCACGTTTTCGGGAATGTGCCGAACATTCGCGTGGCGTCCAAGCTTTAGACTAAAGCTCGCACGTACTGTTGTATTCCTGAGACACTGTGCAGGTGTGTAGGGTTGCAACCAGGAAAGGTGAGGTGCTCGGGATAGCGGAGGTTTCCTTTCTCAGCCCACTTCTAGCAAGGCTGAAATGGAAGACGCTTCTGCCAGGGCGTTAAATGTCTCAAAGGGCTCTCAAAGGCAGACAGTCGTGCACAATGCCACCTTCTGCACCTGTCGCTGTCAAAATCAAAAAGCCAGCCCCAGCTAGCTTTGCGCTTTGCCTCTGAGTTTCTGATTCCCATCAAATCCAGGAAAAGATGCGAATAGCACAAGACTACCTGGTGCCAAATGCCATGGTTGAGGCCGGCTGCTCCGAAGATACTGAAGTCTTTTTCTGCATGTATGGATGGATGGATGGATGTACTCATGTAGGTCTTTATAGTTTTGATTACTCGCAAGTTCACACTGCGATCTACTTTGTTTGCCATGCAAGGTTGTCAGCTTGTCGGCAGACCAACGGATCCTGAAGCATCTGCTCACGGCCGAATTTAGTCCTCGAACGTGCCAGGTCGGCCTTCGGCACAAGGAGGCCCAAAAGCAAAGCCAAATATCGCGTTTGCTGGGATAGCCGGAGAATTTGTTATCCTGTGGCGAATTGCGAAGTAGATTCGATTACGGCCAACTTCCGTGGCCAGGCAGAGAGAGCGAGAGGCAGATGTCTTGCCTACACTGATATTGTATTTTCAGGTGCGCAGCACCTAGCAGAGGCCACGAGCCCTTCAGCCCCTTTTGTCCGAGCTTCTCAGGTGCGAGTCGTAGGCCGAAGCAGCTTGCTTCCAAACAGTAAGAAAAAGTGATGTTGAAGCTTCGCGACATTCATTGGACACGCAAAGCCCGAGCTGCTTGAGATGCCAGGTGAAGACTTCCGAACAAGCTACGACGGCAGATGCGCCGCCTGGCGAAGCACTTACTTCGGCCGAGACCAGCGAAGCCAGCAGTGATGCTGCGACCTCAGGCAATCAGCATAAACTAGATGTGGTCTTTGAGGCCGTGCATTGCGGTGTCGGGATTGAGGGTCGCCTTTACATTTCCAGCCACTTTCTGGGGTCGTGCTCTAAGCAAAGCCTGCTGCTCTGTGGTGCGGGCTTTCGAATACTAGGGGCCTTGGGTCCTTTCTATAGCAAGGATTGTATTTATGATGAGGGTTTATATCGGGGTCTCCACTTCGTCTCAACTCCCATATGATTATGATTATGACGGTCCCTGCGCCCGCGTATGAACCTACACTGAAGAGCTCGGGACTTATATCCCCACTTATACCTACCCCTGAACCTCCAAGTAGGTTCAAGGTGCACAACCTGAAGCTCGAACCCCAAACGGAAGACTGGCAGCCAGACCCACAGCGCGAAACATTTCTGGCTCCGTCAAGGGGTTCCATGCCATAGGACGAGATGCATGAGTACGAGAGCCAACTTTTGAGAACAAAGCAGGCATCATCGTCATGATGATCATCCCCATCATCATCATCATCTTCATGCCCGTCATCATCATGGCATCTCGCATTTAGTGTTCAAGCCCAGTCTGGCGGACCTATCATCGCAGTAGGCAGGAAGTTGGAAGGCTTGCAGACGGAGGAGCAGAAAGTGCCAATCACAGCCCCTACTACTAATCGAAGTGCGCAGATCAGGAAGCGAACGAGACCAGCAAGGCAGCCGAACCGGTGAAGCCGACCATCAAGGTGGCACAGAGACCGTGAAGATCGGGGTAGTTTAGGGCATATTGTAATTCGGCTTAAAGGTTGAGGAATGTTGAGGACATCGGAAGCGATTGAACGTGTAAGCTTAGGGACTGGCAGTGGCGGCTTCTTGCCATTATGTCGACCATGAACGACCTTCCGTGTGCAAGCCGGTACCTACCAGTTCCAAGCTTCTGATGAGTGCATGAAGCTAGTAAAAGAGCTGAGCTGCAACCAGCGAGGGCGCGAGTCCGAGAAGCCTCCCCAGACGACCCATCCTCGTCTCGTACACTTGGGAAGGTTCGAGCTCGCCTGTGTATTTATGTCTACGTGTATATATACATATATTTATTTACTTGTTTTACTTGTTTATTTATTTGCATACATGCCGATATAGATGCAAGTATACATATAGTGGCAGAAGTATAGCTTCGCAGATAAACGAAGAAACGATCGACACTTGCATGCCTGTAAAGTGTGTGTATAGGTGTGTGTGTGTGTATATATATATATATGTGTCTATACACACATGCATATACGCACAGACGTACTTAGTTCGAAGCAGTTGTCTTAATCAAGTCTTTGGTCGCTTCAAGAGAGTTTGTTTCTATGTGAAGTCCCTGTGGACGTCTGTCAAATATCCGTGGCTTCCGGTTCAAGTTAGAGTGGGGGCGCGTGACAGAGTCCGTGTCCTTGGAGAGGGCTTCCATGACCCATGGCGATGGGGAAAAATGTGACAGCTCCCATCCTGAGCACAGCTGTTCCTCGTGCGAGCTCTGCAACGAAGCAGATCCTGAAATTATTCGGGGTGTCGCCTTGCATGAGGCCCTATGTAGCTGGGGAAAGCATTGGAAGGCAGAGAATGGAGGCATGCCTGCAGGAGATGCAGCAAACTACGAACTCAGCCGACAGGTGCAAGCTTATGATGCTTTTCTGAGTCACGACTGGGGCTCGGGTCGGTGGCTAAAGCTGCTTTCCCTTCTGCTGGTCTTTAATTCACGTGCAGCTTTTTATGCCTGCTTATTTGTGAGCATTGCAATTGGCTTTCTGCGTGGATTTGGTCTCCTGCCGGATGCAACATGGACTGTCGTATTCAGCCATGCTACCTTCTTCTTCGTTTTTGCTTTTTGGCAACGCATCAGACTGCTTGTCTGCCGACCTCGGATGGTATTCTTCGACAAGCTGTGTGTGGCACAGCACGATGAAGCGTCCCTTGCCTTGACATTATAAGATATTGATAGTCATGCGGTAGCCTCAGATCTCGAATCCGGGCAAGTTGCTCGAGGAGGAACAGAACTCAGGGACTTTGGTATCTTACACAACTTGCATTCAGCCGATAGGTTCCTTGCGTCCCAACGCTTTGGCTTCACACCGAAGCTACTTTCTCAAACGTCTTCACTTAAGTGCTGTTGAAGATGTGGAGCCTCGGCCGCCATCACCGAACGCCCGAAACTCATACGTCCCAAAGAGTAGAACACACTCTGTGCAATGCACGGTGTTGCTCCTACAGTTGAGACTTGGAGCAGCACAGAACGTTGTTTTCCTCATCTGGCTCTGGAGCAAGTGATGTTCGTTGTGGTTGGCCTGCACTGATAGGATAACGGGAAGTCTCGAATCAGAGGTGCTGCCCTCTTGTTCACCTAGCTCTACTCTCAGTACCCTGCCTGCTGTGAAACCCCAGGGGACACGAAAGACTACTCTGAACCTGAACGGAGGCTGAAGCAGAGAGGCATCTTGTCAATCGCGGACTTCTTGCTGAGCTCACGAAGCCTGGTGGTGTTACTGACACCTCAGCGCCTGGCCAGAAGTCTACTCGGCAAGTAGGTCGATCATGAAAGATGTGTAAACAAAGCTGGGAGCAGCAAGCATGTTAAACGGTCACACCCCGACTGAGTCGAGCTGCAGGGTTGTACGGATCATTTCAGATCTCGGAGCTTGTTCAATGGTGTGTTCGGGGGATTCGAGCATCGCGCTCGCAGGTGCGGAGGTTCTGTTGCCATACTCCCATAGCTTGAACGCCCGTTGTGTGCTGGCAGGTATTCGTCATTGTGGGTTGCAGTTAAGAGCCGTATGTTTTGGCGAGGATGTTGTGTCACCCACAACAACATGGCTTCAATGACAAAGAACCACCGTACTCTAGGCACGCGGCAATGGAGGTACATGGTCAACAACAGCAACAACCAACAATAACCAGCAACAGCCAACCACAACCAACAGCAGCCAAGAACAGCCAACAATAGCCACAACAACAGCAAATCACGGCCAACAGCAACCAACAGCAAGCACCAGCAACCATCAGCAACCCATCAGCAACCAACAGCGACCAACAACAACTACCAACAACTACCAACAACTACCATTACCACCACCACCGCCACCACCAGCACCACCACCACCACCACCACCACCACCACCACCAACAACAACAACAACGAGGAAGATGGCGCGTTTGCCGCCGCGAGGGGTGTGTCGTTCATTGTCTGAGATTTTTGTTAGCCTGGAAACCTGAGTTTTGGTGGTTTTCGTGAATAAGACAATTTTCCGTCCCTTGGTGTTTCCATGTTTTTTGTTATTCTTTAGTGCCATGTGTGCGGAAGCGTCGTAAGTACCGTCTCCGACCATTCCTGTGAAAAGATTCGCAACACAGTTCTCTCCTCACATTGCTTCTATGATCAGGCGCGCGAGCGGGGGAACTGAACGGACATGTGAGCAATTGTGGTGTGGGCGCAAGTTCCAACATTGGGGTCGCGCTCGCTGCAAAGTTGCCAAAAGTGCTGCCCGTTGGTGGCATTCGTTTGTGCTGCGGTTGCCTGCTTCGTCGCTGCTGCTGCAAACATTCACGTCGTCATTCTGACACATTACTAGCAGGCCCAATGCGTGTTGAACTATCACGCAGTGCTGCAGTGCAGCACATGCCACGGCACATCGAGGCTTTTGGGCAAATCGAAGGAAGAAATGCCGATTCTTTTTTTTCCGAGGTCAAAATCGTTATGCTTGCCCCCAACAGTAGACTTGAAGCGGAAATCGGAGGCCCAGCCCAGAATCCAGAAACACCCAAACGCTAGGGAGTGAAACCAACCCTAGGCTTAACCGGAAGCCTTTAAGCCTAAGCCTGACCGTAGATCCAACACAGAAACGGTTTACCGGAAGCCATGTCAACCAGAAGCCGCAAACCGTGAACAGGAAGCTGAGAACCCTGCGGAATGACCCTGCCATACCCTGCCCACCGCCGCACACGAATCGGAAAGGCTGGAACGAGAGGGCTTTCATTCGAGACTGTCGCACGAAAAAGTCAATCAGACACCAGCGACGCCAGAAAAAAAGACACAGGCGACACCAGAAGAACAAGGACAGCAAGAGCAAGTGATCCAGGACCCCGCCACGTACACCGCCGCCACTACCACCACCAACGACGACGGCAGCCACAGCAACAAAAGGATGACGGAATGAACAGCAAAAAATCTAATTCGCAGGTACTTTTTTGGTCTTGTGCCTCGGACGATCGCTTCTTGGCTTCCGTTCTTCCAGGTCTTGATCAGCACAGCCACGCTGC